GCTCGGTCTTTGGTCTCAGAACGCAGTGCTGGTGCTGATTCGGCTGCCAGCGCATTGCACGCAGACAGCTCTAATATTTTGCACGATAGCTCTCGGCAGACGGACTCTGTGGCCCTGCAGGTTCAGACAATCAATGCCAATTCTTGGGCAGAATGCGTTCTCTTCTTTCGAGATGTAACGCTCATATTGTGCTCTTCCAAGAGTATCGTCTAATTTGTGCCGAAGATATTGGTCAGGCTAGCGCCTGGTGTCTTCGCCGAGGGTGGAAATCGGCGTGGGCGCCCGCTTCGGCCACCGAGGCTGGAGATACCAGTGGGGGGGTTGCCATTTTCGTGCGCAGCTGGCTCGGGTGTCGGGACCTTCCTGGTGGAATTGTTTCTCAGGGTCGGGGCCTTGTCTGCTCGGTCGAGCTGCCTGGGACGCCCCCTTCTTAGTTGCCTCAGCCTATTTGCTCCGCTCTGAAGGGGTGTCCAACCGTAACCTTGAGCTCGTGGCCAGCATCGGCTCATTCATCTCTTCCTCGGCCTGCCCGTGGCTGACCGGTGCTGATTTCAATATGGAGCCTGCGGAGGTGCAGGGCTCGCAGTTTGTTCAAGAGCTTCGTGGCGAGTTGGTTGTGCCAGCCATTTGCACTCATTACTCTGCTGGCCCCCCACCACCTTCGATTATTTTGTGGGTTCCAGCGGGTTGGCCAAGGGAATCGAGCGGATCGAGACGATGTTGGACACGGAGCTTTCGCCCCATCGGCCGGTGGAAATCAAGTTTTTTTCCCTCGGCTTGCGGTCTTGAAAGCCCTTTCGTTTCGGAAGCCCCCGCCCCTGCCGTGCACGGGGGTTATTGGTCCGTCTCCTCTCCCTCAGGCCTGGGCTGATGTGAAGGCTATGGCCGACTATGCTCTCGCACTCATCGATGAGGGAAATGCCGAGGGTGCCCGTCGGCTTTTGGGGCAATTGTACCAATCTTGGGCCGACACGGCTGAACGCGAGTTGGTTCCTCTGGTTGGGTCGTCGCCTGCCATGTTTGGTGCTCGTGGGTTGGGTCCTCAGCTGGTCTGGAAATCTCTCTTGGCGAAAGATACCCAGGTCCGCTACCTTGGTCATCGTGCTATCCGCTGGCTTGGCCAGCAGCTCAGAGCCCTAATTCATTCCTCTAGAGCGGATGCTGAGTCGGATACGTCGAGACGGCTTAGGTCCCTTCTGCTTCAGCCACTTGCAGGTATCATGGCGGCTCGCGAGGACTACGTCCCCCTCTTCGAGCAGGTAGCTGACGCCGTGGGGGCCTCAGCCGACCATGAATCCTACTCGGCCCTCTACGCTCAGGTGCACGAGGCCGTTCAGGCCGCCGACGGCAAGTACGCTGCTAGAGGTCGTGCTGACTGGAAGGCATGGCTCACCAGCGGTCTCTCGTCGGGTGCTAAGCGCGTTCGCATGCTCTTGCGCGATCCCACCCCGTGGACTGCTAGCAGCACGTTGTCGGCCGACGGTTTCGTTGTCACGGACCCTCTGTCCCCTCTGAAAGCGGAGGGGTCCCGTTTCGCGGCCTTGCGGGGCCAAGGCGAAGGAGCCATTCTTTCGAATAAAATATTGGCTCCGCTTCCCAGGCTTTCGGCCCAGGCGATCCGTGAAATGTCGAAATCCAAAAGACCGCCTCGGCTGTGTCGGCAAGTGCGCTGCTAGAGGTCGTGCTGACTGGAAGGCATGGCTCACCAGCGGTCTCTCGTCGGGTGCTAAGCGCGTTCGCATGCTCTTGCGCGATCCCACCCCGTGGACTGCTAGCAGCACGTTGTCGGCCGACGGTTTCGTTGTCACGGACCCTCTGTCCCCTCTGAAAGCGGAGGGGTCCCGTTTCGCGGCCTTGCGGGGCCAAGGCGAAGGAGCCATTCTTTCGAATCAAATATTGGCTCCGCTTCCCAGGCTTTCGGCCCAGGCGATCCGTGACATGTCGAAATCCTACAAGACCGCCTCGGCTGTGTCAGTCGACGGGTTTCACTGTCGACATTTTTCTCTCTTGTGCGATGAGGCTCTCGATTGTTTCAGCAGCGTCCTCGGCGCGACTGAGGCTCTTGGCTGCCTTTCCGCCGCAGATTTCTGTGGTGTTGCTTGCCCTGCTCCCGACACCAGCAGGCGGCTACAGGCCGATAGGGGTGTTTTGCTCCTGGTTCAGGCTTTGGGGGCGCTGCGTGCGCCCCCTGGCCCTGGACTGGGAGTTGGAACACCCCCGTCGGTGCTGGGCTGCTGGCCAGTTTCGTGGAGCAGCGGACGTCGTTTGGAGGCAGGCGGTCACCGCCGAGAGCGGCTTAGCCAGGGGGAAGCCAGTTGCAGCATCTTTTTCGACCTTTCCAAGTTCTATGAGAACATATGTTTGGCCAAACTTGAAGATCGGTGTGATATGCTTGGTTTTCCCTCGGTCATCGCCCGACTGTGCATCTATGCTTATCGCTGTGGCAGATTCTTGAGTCTTGGGGGGTGGCTTGACGGGCCCTACTTCTGCATCAGCGGTGTTATCGCAGGTTGTTCTATGGCCACTACCCTCAGTCGCGTTTACTGTGCTGAAGGGTATGTTTCTATTCCGCCCCCCATGGGCACGGACCTGGACGTTTATATCGACGACCAGGGGCTTTCGGCCGCGGGGAAGTCTCGGTTCGTCGTCTCGCCCATCGTCTCTGGAGCTAAAGCTCTCGACCAGGTCGTCCAACAAGAGTTCGGATGTTCGCTCGCCCTCGACAAGACGGCCATTGTTGCTAGTTCCAAGGCGGTGGGGTCCCAGGTCCTTGAGCAGCTCAGCCACCTTTGTCAAAATTGCTCGCCGTTTACGATCAACCTCGGGGTCGACTACACTGCGTGCAGGGCTTTGCGCGTTGCTGGCAAGTCGGCCAAGATGAAGTCTCGCTTGGCGAAGTCTGCCCGTGCTGCGCGCCGCCTCGGCAAGCACGCTAAGGTGATTTCTAGAGCGGCCACCCTTAGAGTTTATTGGACTGGCCCCTTAGCTGGGGCCGCGTACGGCACTGAGGTCACGGGCATAAGCGATCACGACCTTAGCTTGTTACGCCGCCGTTTTTTTTTTTTTTTTTTTTTTTTTTTTTTTTTTTTTTTTTTTTTTGTTTTTTTTTGTTTTAAAATAATAATAATAATAATAATAATAATAATAATAATAAAGGGGGCCGTCGATAATCCTCGGCATAGTGAACGGGCGCGGACGGAGGGGCAGGCACGCGGGAAGGAGTTCCAAGCGAAGTGGGACATGATGAACCACATGCGTCGCGCACGCAAAGTACACAATTCATGGTCGACGCTGACTCCCACGAATGTCTGCATCGCATGTAGGAGGGCATTCGCTAGCCAGCCCAGCGCATCCCAGCACCTCCAGAGGGCCCTCATTGGCGGAAGGTGCCCCGCAAGGGGCTCGGCTACGAGAATGTCATCCACCTGTGGGCGTTGACCCTTCCATATCAGAGCCATCTGGTTGAAAGTCATCTACCTGTTGGCGTTGACCCTTCCATGCCGGAGCCTGCGCGAGACAGACGGGGCGGGTCTGCGACGCCCCGCGGCGACGTCGTCACAGAAGGAGCAGAAGACGACATTGCTCAAGCCCGCCTGGCTGAAGGGCCCTTCGCCAGGCCCAGAGCCGACGCAAACGAAGCGGCAACGGGGAGGAGGAGGCGCGCAGGGCGGCCAACGGCAACGACGCGCTGCACAGCGTGACGGTGATCATCGCCAAGCTCAAGCTGGCCGACAGCCGCGCGCTGGCGAGCTTTCCAGCGCGGCGCGCCGCGCCTGCGACGTCAGCGCAGACACCGACTGCGAGGCCATGAACGAGACGGCGGGCGCGGGCTACAACGAGGGCTCCCTGGACTGGAAGAAGCGCCAGAATGCGGGCGAGACGGTCGACTTCGCTGCCGGGCCCCCCCCCTTTGGCGACGATCTTCATGACGGCGATGCATTGAGCGGTGTCGCTGCGCAACAAGGAGGGGGCAACGCAGAGAAAGTGGATGCTCCCGCTGAAGCAGCTGCACGCAAAATAGCCTGGCGACCATGTCGACATCGGAAGTCGGATCGATGGCGTTGCAGTGGCAGTGGGAGCGCAACAAGTCAGAGACGGAGGAGGAGCCGAGGGGCAGACTGATCTGGGCCCTGGGCCAAGCACACCCCCTGGGACCGAAGCTGTCAGAGATCATCCCAAACGTCCTGGTCTCCATGAAGGCCGCGAGGAGGATCGGGCTCGCGTCGATGGGGCCCTTTCGAGAGGGACGCATCGAAACTGCTGCCGGAGCTGGGCGGGAAGCGAAGGAATGAAAGTATGAGACAGCAGCAGCAGCAGCGCCAGTCAACCAGTACAGTCAGAATGGAACGCCCGTCTACGCAGCGGCACGATCACCCCACAGGTGCCGCGCGGCGTCCGTAACCAGAGCCCGTTGCGGGCGAGCGGGAGGTCGGCTGAGTAATTTTGCAGGCATCTGTGTAGAATCTTCCGAAGTTTTGAGCCCTCGACCCCTCCCTTTGCCCGCAGCTTACGGTCCTGGAGCGTCCATTGCCCCAGCCATCCAGAGCGAGGGGAGGTCTTCGAGGCCAAGGGGCAAGGACAGGGGCAAAAAGCAAAATGGTCGTGGGTAATAGCGTTTTTTTTTGTTCTTCCTCACTGGTCCCCAATGGTGGACCTCCTAGAGGCTGCGTGCCGTGGCGGGGATGTTCGCGGGGGCGGCGTGGCGCCCGTCGCGTGCCACGGGTCGCACCGGACGGTTTGGCTGAGAGTATGTTTCTTCCCTTGACTTCCCCAAGACTGCGAAAGTCGGCCGAGGCCTGCAGGCGAGTAGCAGCATCAGTTGAGCTAGCACGGGCCCAATCCCAAACCCAATCTCAATCCTCCTCCTCCTCTTCCCTCCCTCCTCCCTCCTTTTGCTCCCTCCCTCCCCCCTGCTACTTGTCATTTCCCTCGTTCGACGACGCTCCCCGTCCTCGTCTCCCTGCCGCCCCCCGCCCGGGCGCGCGGGAAAACCCTGGCAGGTCCGCGCGGCGGCCGTGGAGGCCCTGCTGCAGCTGACAGACAGGGGGGACCGGCACGCCGTCGAGGAGGCCCAGCGGCGGGCGCAGCGCGCCCATGGAGGATCGGATGAAAGATATCCGCAGAAGGAGGGAATGGAGGAGCAGGAGCAGGAGGAGGAGGAGGAGGAGGAGGAGGAGAAGGCGGAGGAGGAGGAGGAGGAGGAGGCGGAAATGGAGGAGGAGGAAGAGGAGACGGAGCGGAGGAGGAGGAAAAGGAAGAGGAGGCGGAAGAGGAGGAGGAGGAGGAGGAGGAGGAAGAGGAGGAGGAGGAGGAGGAGGAGGAGGAGGAGGAGGAGGAGGAGGAGGAGGAAGGGGAGAATGCGGAGCAAACTGAAGAGGAAAAGGGGGGAGGAGGAGGAGGAGGACGAGGAGGAGGAGGAGGAGGAGGAAGAGGAGACGGAGGAGGAGGAGGAGGAGGACGAAGAGGAGGAGGAGGAGGACGAGGACGATGAAGAGGAGGAGGAGGAGGAAGAGGAGGAAGAGGAGGACGAGGAGGACGAGGAGGAAGGGGAGGCGCAGGCGCGCTCACGGCTTCTGAACGGGGAGGTGCCCCCACGGCAGACCGCTTGGCCTGACGCGTCTACGGGAATTGGATGACCCATTCCGTTTTTTTGGGGCGCTCCAGCACGTTGAGGATATTGCCCCCTGCGGGCGCCCCAGGAGGAGGACGAGGAGGACGAGGAGGACGAGGAGGACAGGGATGACGATGAGGACGAGGAAAAGGAGGTAGAGGAGGAGGAGGAGGAGGAGGAGGAGGAGGAGGAGGAGGAGGAGGAGCAGGAGGAGGAGGAGGAGGAGGACGAAAAGGAACTGTCCCCCTCCCCTCGTTCCGTCGCCCCTCGTCACTTTTCCTCCTTTTCTTTTTTCTTCCTCCATTTCCTCTTGGAGGCCATCGAAGGGGGTTGTCTCCCTATTGGGCCCTCTTGGGTCAACTTTGGAGGCCCCCGACCCAAAAACGTGGACCCATATGTTAGCCGCCCCACTCGGGAGGGGCCATTTTGAAGCCTGTCAGAAGCGACGATGCGAAATGGCCACACTCCCAGAAAACGTGCTTGGTTTTCGACGACATTGGCCTCTCAAAGGCATCCTTGGCAGGTTCGGGGGCAAGCCATCTTGGGTTTCTGAGTTGATGTATTCACCACCGCGTGAACGTTGCAGGAATAACATAAAGAACACACAGCAACAAGACGAGCATGAACACATGTTGCCCATCAGTTGGGCTACGAAAGCTCCCGCATTAAAGGATACTTTGCAACATATACGGTCTAAACCGAAATTTATATCTTCGATGAAAGTGGTACCATCAGATGAGGAATCCATGCTTGAACCATGTATGGAGGATGTGCGAATACTAGGAACATCACGCCACGGCTTTATTGTGAATGCTCCTGGAGCAGATGGCCGATCATGTCGGACCACCGATCTAACATTTGCACGACAAGATCAGCTGGAACATTTTTTTTGGTGACGAGCTTCGCCCAGCCAGCCGGGAGGTCAACGGCAGCAGGGAGCACGAGTGGTTCGAGGGCGGTGGAGCAGATCCTGCACCAATCGGCGATCAACCCGAGGTCCTCATCGATCTTTCGGGCGGTGAGCACGACGTGAAGACAATCTCTTCGGAGGACAATTTCTCTCGCAGATCGACACTGGGACCCGTCGTCTTCCGTGAAGCCCATCAGACACGCGACGGAGGATCTGAGGCCTATGGCCGTGGGCCCCCAGTTCTCTTAGGCGATTATCAGTTTCCTACAGAAGGTGCCTCTATCATACGGCGAGGATGCCGCGATTCCATCTGACGAGTGTTTGGTACGGACCTTGAAGGATATCATTGAAGTTGAGTTCGTGAGCGGCCCCGTTAGAACGGCGAGCAAACAGAGAAGTGAGCCGGGTCGCCTTTCGTTGGGATCGCCATTCGGCAAGCGGAGCAGATCTGACGGCATCCCCGGGAGTGGCCGTGCGTCCGCTCCGGATGGGGGAGCCTGAGAGTTGTGCTCCCGAGTCCCCGCCGCGTCCATTTCAAGAAAGTTATAGACGACCGACATCGGTGTTTGAGACGCCTGACCTACGGGCCCGCTCTCCTCGCTCTCCTCGCAAGAGGAATACCGAGCAGGGTAGACCCAGGGCCCCGAGGCCGCGTTCTGAGGTGTCCGACCTGTCCATCCTATCAGGGAGGTCGAGTGCATTCAGCATGCGCATCAATGCCAAGCGTGCCAGCTACGGGCCGATATGCGCCGTGGTGCCTGAGTCGCGGCGCCTTGTTTCGTCGGGGCACTGCAAGAGGCCGCAGTCTGTTGCGACTCTTCGGGCGCCTGCGGCCCGTGCAATTTGAGATTCCAACGCGCGGCGCGCGCCGCCTCGAACGCGCAGAACTGCTTCGGTTTACGCGCGCGCGCGGCGAGAAGCCGAGGAAAGCAAGAGGGTTGTGATCGTGGAGGTCAAGGGGGGGGGGGGGGGGCGAGCAGAGATGCGCTTGCATTTCAGACAGTTGGAGTTGCAGCGACACACGCGGGTGCTGCCTTTCAGTTGGGGCGGGACCGGGAGGCGATGGCGCCTGCCGCGCGGTTCCTGGAGGTGCGCCAGCTGGCGGCGGCAGCCGAGCAGGTTCTGCAGCGACGGCCGACATCAGAGAGGTCGCCAGCAGGCTGGAAATATATGTTGCCTCCGTGCGCCAGGCGCAACTTCAGGCAAAGCACCTTGCCGAGGAAGCGAGGCGCGCCGTCCGGGGCGCTGGCGAGGCTCAGCGCGCGACTATTTCGCAAGCGGCCCAGGAGCTATGAGCAGCGGGGGATCGGATCGCGCAGTTAGCCGCGGAGGCAGCCGTCGATGTCAAGCGGGCCGGAACGGATCGCGTCGCCGCGCGTGAGGGCCGCGCTCGTTCCGCGGCCGAAATACAACGCGATCGCGGAGAGACGCGACGAATCGAAGCGACTACCGATGAGAAATTCGCAGCAAGTGTTCGCGCAGTGGAAGAGACGGCAAACCAGGTGTTGGAAAGCAGGGGGGCTGAGCGAGATCAATCGCATCGCAAGCTAAGTGATCACATATGTATATATATATATACATATATATATAGGTGCTGTCGACGACTGTCTTTCCTTCGCGGGAGGGGTTGGGTCTGTGGCCGCTTTGGCTCCAGCTCCCGGGCCTCGCGCGGCGCCTGATGCACCCGGGTTGGGGGCCCCTGACCTCGGTCCTCGCGGCGGCGCTCGGCTGGGCCGGTCACTGCGCGTTTGGGGGCTGGCGCGCGGCGCGCGCCCCGCCCGTGGAGGGCTCGCGCGCGGCGTGGGGCGAGGGGCCCGACGCCGCCGAATGCGCGCGCGCACGTGCGACGAGGAGCTGCGGCAGCTCCTCGCCCAGCAGGCCGCCCTGGAGTGGTGGCGGCTGGCGGCGGCGACGCTGGGGATCGTCGCGCTGCTGGCGGTGGTGCTCCTGGCGCTCCTCGGCCTCTGCTGCGCTGGGGCGCACTGCTGGCGCTGCCGGCGCGGGGCGGCCGGGCCGCCCGAGGGCCCGCGCAGGGCCGAGTCCGCCGCGGCGGAGCCTTCGCCCGCGGCGCGGCAGCGCGCCAGGCTGTCACTTGAGCTGCTGGCGGCCCTCGCCGCTCAGGAGGTTCGTCGCTGATGGCCTGCGGGCTGAACGTGGGCGAGCCGCAGGTGCTGGCGGCCATCGAGGGCTACCCGGAGACCTGGCAACACCGGCTCCTGTTGCGGCGCATCAAGGAGTCGCGATGGGTCGCCCTCGGCCCCGATGGCGGGCTCGAGGTCATAGACCTCGGCGGGTTCGAGCTGCCCCCCTTGGCGCGAGGCGCCGCGGTGCCGGAGCGGGTCGCGGGAGACTGCGCGATGATCTCGGCGCTCTCCGACGGCGAGCTGCTGGGGCACCGCGTGGCGGCGACGCGGCTGGCCGTCATCATGGGCGCGGAGGGCGCCCCAGGGGCACCTGCGGCTGGCAGCGGGGTGTGCTGGCGGACCGCGGACACCAAAGCGCTCGAGTTCGGGCAGGAGGTGCCGTCGGACGAGGTGGCGAGCACAGGCGTCGTCAACTGGGGCGAGCCGCGGCGGTGGCTGTTCGCGGAGCTGGCACCCAGTGCCGAGTGCGCCAGCTGGGAGCGCGACAAGCCGAGTGGAGCTGGGCGGGGCCGCCGCGTCCTTCCAGCGCGCGGCGGCGACTTCGGGTCGGGGCTCGCGTCGCTCTCGCAGGCCGCCGACCACTTCCGGCCGACGGACTTGGCGAAGATCGTCGACTGGCCCCACTCGGGGCCGCGCGCGGTGATCGAGCTCGTCCGCGGGGTGGTGGCGCTCGGGCTCACGCCGTTCACCTACCACGCGCGCTGGGTGCGCCAGGCGGGGGTGCACGGGGAGAGCGGGGTCGCGCTGGAGCACCGCATCCATGCCAGGTGCCGGCGCTGGCCTTGGGTTGCGATTGCCTGGGCGCCAGCGACCTGGCGAGCCTCGAGCTGCTCGCGCGGCGCGCTGCGCAGATCGAGCGCGCGGTGCGCGTGAACCCGAAGGCGCCGTCCTTCCAGGGGTTGGCCAAGATGACGGAGCACGCCCTGGACGAGGGAGGCGGGCTGGCGACGCGCGAGTGCACGGCGCGCATGGCGACGCTCGCGGAGCAGGAGGCCCGGATCCTCAAGCAGAACAGGCTTCTGCGCGAGGAGCTGGCGGCGAAGGCCAAGGACAAGGAGGGCCCGAGGAACGGCGACAAGGACAAGAACAAGGGCGCCTCCTCCGGGGGCGGGGGCGGCGGCTGAGCGCCGGCTGCAGTCTCCCTGGTCAACGACGTCGCCCAGTGCCCGGACCTCCTCGTCTCGGACGCTGCCGTGGCGCTGTCTGCCCTGCGGGAGGCGCATCCGCGGCTGCCGCTCCTTCATCGGCACCGCGCGAGCAGTCTCGCTTTCGCGCGCCTCTCCCCCTGGCAACGCTAGGCGGTCGAGCGGCTGCGCGTCTCCTCCGGCCCGCTGCTGGCCGACTTGAGCGTGCTTTCAGGCAAGGACGCTCTCGCGGACTTGCTTCGCTCCGACGACCTCTACGCCGTGGCGGCTGGCGCCGCGCTGGGGTCTTATGACATCGACAAGCTGAGGGTGTCGAAAGGCGACTTGGTCCCAAAGGACGTGGCGTCTGTCACTTCTCCGGCGGCCGCGAAGCTGATCGGCGCCCCGCATTTGCACATCCTGAAGTCGGACGCCGAGCTCTGCGCTGACGTGGACTCGGGGGCGCATCGCGGGCAGCCGTACTGGGGCCCGATCCTCAGGGGCAGCCCCGTGAAGAAGCTGGAGTTCTTGCGGGCGCTGTCCGCGGCGGGGTTGCTTACCTGGCGGCGGCGGGTTCGGTGCCGGGTCGGGTGCTTCTTCGTCGAGAAGAAGGACTCCATGCTCCGGCGTGTGATCGACGCGAGGTGCGCCAACCGCATGTGCCGCGCCCCGCCGCTCAGCCAGCTGGCGATGCCGGGGGCCCTGGCAAGGCTCTCAGCCAGCGACGAGTCCTTCCGCATGGTCCAGGAGAGGCTCGGGCGCGCGGCGCAGGCGGAGCTCGACTCGCCTGGCGACGACGAGCTGGTGGGCTTCTCGATCGACCTGACCGACGTTTTCTACCAGTTCAAGTGCCAGGCGCTGGCGTCCATGTTCGGCCTAGGCTACACCGGTACGGCCTCGAGCATCGCCGACGAGTTCGGGATCGCGCTCGACGACGTGTTCGACGACGACTTGCAGGCCGTCGACCCCGCCCACCCGTCCGAGGTCCTCGAGGCCTGCTTCCCCGGGATGGCCATGGGCTGGTCGTGGGCGCTCTGCTTCTGCAACGAGGCCATCTCGGAGTGCATGCGCGAGGCGTGACGGGAGACTGGTCTGCCCGACGTGCTGGTCGGCGATCGGCAGCGGCCCGCGTGCTTCGGGCCGCGCGTGCCGGCCCTGGCACCGTACGTCGACAACGCGAACATGTTGGCGGTCGGGCGTGACGAGGGCCGGCGTGTCTTCGACCTCGTGTTGGCCGCGCTGCGTCGGCGAGGGTTCGCACTGCGGGACCACGTCGACGGCGAGCCAGTTTTCGAGTTCCTGGGCCTTGTGCTGGACGGGCCGCGGCGCCGTCTGCGCCACACGCAGAAGTGTTGTTGGCGCCTGTGGTCGGCACTCGGCCGCGTCTTGACCTTAGGACGCCTGTCAGGCGACGCCATGCGGGTGCTCTGCGGCCACCTCTGCCACCACTTCGGCCTGCGGCCGCCGCTGCTCTCCACCCTGCAGAGGGTGTACGCTTTCGCGCGCGAGCAGCTGGGCAAGGTCGCCATCCTGCCGGCCGATGTCTGGGACGAGTTGTGGGTCGCGCGGTCCATGCTGCCCTTCGCGGACGCTGACCTGAGGCGGCCTCTGTGCCGGACCATCTGGTGTTCAGATGCCTCCCTGTTCGGGTACGCGCTCCATGAGACCACGGCTGGGCTGGCCGAGGTCTTTGACGTGGCCCAGTGGAAGGAGAGGTGGCGCTTCCGCGAGGTGGTGGAGTACGTCGACCGCGGGCCCAGCGACGCGCCGGCTGCAGCGGCGATCGGCCCGGGCGCCGGTCAGGACTGGGCGACAGTGATGGTGGGGGCTGTGCGGGAGGACACCCGCGCCCCCAGCGCGGCTGTGGCGGAGCCCTCCCGGCTTGGCGCGCCCTACCGGCACTTCGAGCGCGTGGAGGGCGCGGTGCCGCCGCTGCCAGGTCGGCTTACCCACGCGGGGCGCTGGTGGCTGATCGTGGCCGGCTGCTGGCGGCGGCGCGAGGCGATCCACTTGCTGGAGGCGCGCGCGGCGCTGCTGGGGCTGCGGCGGGCTGCTGGTTCCGCTGGCGGGCAGGACGCGGTGGTGGTCTCGTCCGGCGACAACATGAGCGAGCTTCTCGCGCAGGAGCGTGGGCGGGCCTGCAACTACGCTCTCAACAGCTGCTGTCGGGAGGCCGCCGCGTGGCAGGTGGCGGCCGGAGTGGACTGGCGTCGGAGGTACGTCGACACCGACAGGAACCCCTCCGACAAGGACTCCAGGCTCGGCGACCGCGGGAAGCTGTCGCCCGGGGACATTGTCACACCGCACGGGCCAGCACGCCAGCGTGCTCGACGACGAGCTGATGCAGTATCAAACCTCCTGCAGCGCGACCTGGTCTCGGCTGCCCGGGCTGCAGTGGCGCTGGCGGCGCCTGAGAGGGGCCTTGCTGCCGCGGAGCGCCGCTGTGGGGGCGGGCCCGGGGCGGCCTGGCCGTCGGCTGGTCGGCAGGCCCAGAGCTTTTCGCAGGCTGCGCTCATCTGTCCGGGGCCGCCCTTCAGGCCGGGCTCGACGTGGCCGTGCCCTTCGAGTTGGAAAACGGCTCGCACTTCGACATCCTCCGCCCTGGCACCCTGGGACTCATCATCGAGTGGATCCGTCAGGGCCGTGTCTGGTGGGTGCACCTGGGAACTCCATGCACATGGGCCTCTCATGCTCGCTCTACAGGGTCTCCCGAAGCACCAGCCGCCCGTGCTGGGCTAAGTTGTGCTCTGGCATCGGTTCGCATTATCCGGGCCGTCCTCGCCGTCTCGAACAAGTACAACATATACGTCACCGTCGAAAACCCGATCACGTCGCGGCTCTGGGTGCGGAGGCCTATGCGAACTATTATCAGCAAGTTGGGGTGCTCGTTCATCGACTTCGATATGTGCCGGTTTGGGACACCTTATCGAGAGCCAACTCGGATAGCGTCGACATTTCCAGGCCTGGATCTCGCCATTGGGACTAGATGTAATTGCACGGCACCGCACATCATTTGGAGGGCAAGGTCACAGTGCCAACCTTTGCTGGTCATTCCCGCTGCGTTTGGGTCACCAAGCTCGTTGGGCAGTACCCGCCCCGGCTCTGCCGCGCGATCGCGCTGTGCGCGGCCCGTGCTGCGCCGTCGGGGGCTCGCTATGATGAGCTTCGTCGAGGCCGCGGGCCCGCCTGGCGCTGGACTCACCTGGAGGCCGCCGCCCGTGCTGGGACAGCGCCAGGGGTCCTACGTCCGCCTCGATGCCCGACTGCCCTTGTCGTCGGCTGGGAGCGCGCCTCCGGAGCTTGGGGTGTCCGCGCCCCTGCCGAGCGGCGGCGCGATGGACCTGGTCGCTGGTGCCGCGCGCCCCCGCCCTGCCCCGAAGGCCGCGGTGGCCAAGGAGAGGGCGGCCCACGGCGGCGCGACCCCTGCGGCCCCCGTGGACACGAAGGAGGCGCAGCCAGCTCCGAAGGCCGCGGTGGCGATGAAGAGGGCGGCTCGTGGCGGCGCGGCCCCGGCGGGGCCCGCGACCAAGAATTAAGGCGCGCCCCGCCGCCGCGATGCCGGCGGACCTGTGCCGCGAGGAGCGGGCCAGCCGCCGCGCGGCCGAGGGCGCGTCCCCCGGCGACCTGGGCCCGGCGACGCCCGAGCTGCGGTCGATCGGCAAGGAGACCAGGGACCGCTACTCCGCGGCCTTCGAGGAGTTCCAGGCCTGGGCGGGCCAGCGCGGGCAGCCGGCGATGAAGCTGGCCATGCGTGGACAACCTGGACGCGGCGCTCGCGGCGTTCCTCGAGGAGCTGTACCTGCGCGGGGAGGCGACCAGCATTGCCAGGGACGTGCTCTTCGGGGCGATCTTCGAGCTCGGCTAGGGCAAGGGGCCGAACGTGCTCCCTCGCTGCCGCAGGTCGCTCCAGAGGTTTCGCCGGGACGACCCCCCAGTGTCCGAGGGCCCGTGCCCGCGCGAGGCGGCGGCGTTGGTGGCAGCAGCGCTTCTGAAGGACGGGTCCTTGCTCTCGGTGTTCAGCGGCCTGGCGTTCGGGGTGCAGTACGACCTCTTCACCGGGCCCTCGGAGACGCTGAACGTCCCGCGCGAGGACGTCGTGGCGCCGCGGACCGGGGCCTACCAGGGCGCGGCCGTGATCGTGGCCCCAGGCCCCGCGCGCGCGGCCGCCGCGGAGGCGGCCGCGTCGGCCGGCTTGCGAGCGCCCGCGCCTTCGACGCCGACGGCGGCGCGCAAGCGCCCGGCGGCGCGGCCAGCCAAGAGCGGGGAGTTCGACGACGCCGTCCTCGCCGGGCTCAAGGGCCTGGGCTTCGAGTTCGCCCCGGAGGTACTCCTGAGCCTGCAGAGGTGCGCGCTCCCAGGCCAGCCGCTCTTCTCGCCGTTGACTCTCAGCGAGTGCGAGCGCCACATCCTGAAGGGCGCGGAGCTGGCCGGCCTCGACCCGCTCCGAGTCACCCCTCCCTCTGCACGGCACGGCGGCGCCAGCTCAGCCATGCACCTGCAGCCTGCAGCTGCTCGACCTCAAGATGATCCAAAAGAGGGGCCGCTGGCTGGCGCCGCGCAGTGTAAAGAGGTACGAGAAGAGTGGCAAGCGCCTGCGCCAGGCCGCGGCCATCCGCCACAGGATCCCAGCGGGCGCAGCACTCCTCGACCCAGCAGGTCGCGACTCGTTGAAGAAGCTGACGCTTGCCGCCGCCAGCTCGGCCCGGCGGCTGAGGGCGCAGGCGAACGTTTAAAGGCTCCCCATCCCGCCCATCCTGAGAGACGACAATACACATTGGTGGGTTGGAGAGTGCTCGAGCTTTAATCAGATTCCTCGGCATGCAGCTCAGAGACTCAGAGATTCTCGGGCGACGCCTCGTCATTGGTTTCTTCCTGAATTGCTCGGTTCAGCTCGTGCGAGACTGCTATGAGAAAGTGACTCATCCTGTTGGCTTGCGCCTGCTCCGTCGCTCCGCGTGCGAATAGAGGCTTCGGCGTGCGTGGGCCCCGTGATGGCCCCGCTAGCTCACAGAAAGATGCGCTGTCGACGACTGTCTTTCCTTCGCGGGAGGGTCTGGGTCTGTAGCCGCCCCGCCCGCCCGCCTTTTGAGACGGCTCCTTTTTGATTTTCTATTAGTGGAGAGTGCTCGAGCTTTGATCGGATTCCTCGGCGTGCAGCTCAGAGATTATCTGGCGACGCCTCGTCATTGGTTTCTTCATGAATTGCTCGGTTCAGCTCGTGCGAGACTGCTGTGAGAAAGTGACTCATCCTGTTGGCTTGCGCCTGCTCCGTCGCTCCGCGTGCGAATAGAAGCTTCGGCGTGTGTAGGCTCCGCAATGGCCCCGCTAGCTCACATATATATATATATACATATATATGTATATGTATATATAGCGGAGGCCGATCGGGATGTCCTCCGCGGCATCGGGAACAGGGTCCACGGCGGAATCGCGCGCAGCCGCGCGCCGTCATCGGCCCCGTCAATGGCTGGGAGATCAGCGGCGCAATGGAACTCGGGACGTAACCCTTATGCGAGAGCCTTGCGGTGTTTCTTGCGCTCGAAGGCGGTCACTCACGACTGCGCCTCATGCAGCGAGGGCATTTGCGACGAACGCTTCGCGCCAGACGGCGAGGCGCGCGCGCGCCGCCCAGGGAAAGATTCAACTGCGAGAAGCAACGTGGCTGAGGCAAGACTTCGGGAGGAAGAAAGTGAGGGGCGCCAGGCGAGGTATAAGCCCGAAAAACAGAGTGCCGCTGCGTCTACGCCGAGGGCAACTCGCGATCGATTATCTCGGCCCGTGCACGCCCGAGGCTACGCCTCTGGGGAAGAAGGGCAGCGGGGCGGGAACGTCGACAAACCGAGCGGCTGCTTCAGTTTGAAGAGGCCGCGAGAGCAGAGAATGAGAAGCTCAAGGCAATGCTTGAACGGGCTGCGCGGCGGGAAGAGGACCGCGCCGGGGCGCGCGCTGAACGCGAAGTGTAGACTCAAGAGGCGCGCGAGAAACGGACGGAGGCGGCTGCTGCTTTAGCGCGGCAGATCCAGGAAAGAGAGGAATGGGCCGAGCAATATGTCCGAGTAGAGAAGGAATTGGAGACCAAC